AATGGTTGGCTTCAAAGGGATGTCAAATCACTTAATGAAGGGTGATAAATTTGTTCCACCTCATGGCCTTTGCAAATCTGCTTTAGAAGGGCAGCGTTTTACATAGAAGTAGAAAGGGAACACATTGCATGTTCTAAGAGAGGGAAATTGTGGAGGATAGGAAATGGATAGATGGGCAAATACAGAGTCCTGATGTGAAAAACATGGAACAGTTTGGCTAAGACACGTCAACAGCGTGTAGACAACAAAAGCTCTGCCTTCCCATCTAGGCAGGGATTCTCACCACCTTGCATTGTGTAGGTAAATACTGAACAGAAGATTGAAGATATCATGTCCTAATGATCACCATTTTGATCTTGGCTCAGATTTTCCCACCCTAAACTCTGTCTGCATTCCTATGAATAGCTGCTCTCCTGGTATGGTTTTGAGTCTTCACAGATGGGCTCAAAGGTTTAAGAGGATTGGAGGATGAATGAATCTGAATTTCTTCTGTTTGAATTATGCATTTCAAAGTGAAATAACGGGGTATGTGAATCCTTCTTTTCCCCTCTTATTATTGTGACTTGCAAAATAGGATTAACTATTAGGAAAAAGCTTTGTTAGACAAGGTGTGAAATAGTGGTTGTGTGGACTGGGGGGAGGAGCCAAATGTTCCCAAGAGTGTTCCTATCAGTAAGCAGAGATAAGGCAGTGAATGTCTATTATACTATGTTTATAGTAAACAGTATATTAAGAAGGCTTGAGTTTCTGTTTTGTGCTGAACACATGATTTTCCCATCCTGACCTTAGCAATGAAAGGAGGTGCATCCTCTTTGAAATATTATAGTATGAACTGAGAAGTTGTTTCTTTATCATGTTTTCAAATCTACTGAAAGGTTGTATTTAACCATTTATTTGATGCCCATAGAAAATACAGAAAATATTAGTACAATGCTAACATTCGTATTCCCACTATTCTACCATTTACTGTCAGGTTTGTGTTTGTGAAATTTTGTAAATTGGAAATAAAATAATCTGTCCTTCTTGAAATTTGGCAGAGAAATTCTTCAGCCTTGAGTGATTTCTAACTTTCATTAGAAAAGTCCACAAGCCAATAAATCTTGCCTTAGTAGGAAGGCTGTTTCAATTTTCCTGTTAGGAAGATTTGCTAGTACAGACTGATTTCTAGTGACCTTAGGATTTTTTTTCCCAACTGTTTCAGTGATGAATCTTCCTGAAAGTGAGATAGCTCCTCTGTTTCTGGTGCCCATTGGTTACCATGCCAGACTTCAGAAGAGGACAAAGAAATCCTTGCTTTAGCTCAGTCGTATCGGTGAAGACATGAAGACATGCAAACACTCCCTTAGTTACAATTATTGGTATGACCAAAATTGAGCTGTATGCCTAGACATCAGGAGAATGCTATTTGTGGTCACAGCTATAGTAAAGCAGCCATGAGCTTTTTCAACACTCGTGTATCATTTCGTATAGATTATGCGAAGTGCACAGAAGTTTTGTAGACCAGAGAACTCTGTTCTTGAGCTTGTTTGCCTATTATTAGACAATTTTTTACAAAAGCAAAGCTTACAGAGAGCTCTGTGCCTTGAGTGTGAGCTTGCTCAAAAAGATCGTGAGAACTGTGAGCAAGATATATAGCTGTCATTTAAGAGTAGCATTTAACTAATTTCATAAGTGGTTGTGGTTATATTGTAATCTATGGATTTGTACTTTTTGCTCCTGGTAATAGTAACCATTGAAATTAGAGCAAGATGTAAAGAAAACACATTAAACAGGAAAAGATTTAGCACTCCTACTGTACTGATTTGAAGGATCCTCACTTCAGGAGACATGTCCATGGTTTTTGGTTCTTCTGAGACTTCTGTTGTGGATGAGCTTCTAGTGACATTATTCATGAAATTCTGGGGTGAGATGTCCCTAGAACCACTGACAACTTCTAATTTCCATGTGAAGTTTTCACAGAGCCCAACTTCAAACAGCTTTTGTTTCAAGTTGAAAAAGTGAAAAACTTAAATTTCCTTTTTAACAGAGAGGTGTCTTTTAGTTTTCTTTGTTCATCAAAATGCCTGCTTTTTTCTGTTTTTAAAGTTGATATATTTCTTAATTTCCCAGTTCTTTTCCTTTTTGGTAGGTAGCTCTTAGGTATTTCTTTCACTGCCATGTGTATAGGTTCCTAGTGTGTAACACTAATAAATCTAAACACAAGTCAGTTTCCACTACTAGTTAATTTGATGCTTTTATGAACTCTGATCTCATTCTTGTTTTACCAATTGCTGCTCTTCCAAAGTAGACCTAAATCTTAGCTGTTGGCAAATTCACCACAGTCGATACTCTGTTGGTCTTCCTGCCAGCAAGATTTAAGTATGCTTTTCAGTAGGATCTAATTCATGTATTTTATGCTGAAGTCTTACTCTGTGCATGAGTCTTTACCTGGCCTGCATCCAGATTGCTTACATGCACTCCACGTAGTGCCCTGGACACAAATGTCCTGGAATGCTGTAAGGGAGGAGACTGATGCCTGTCCCTTCATTTTTCAAGGATGCACCCAATACACCTAAATGCACTGTGATGCTCTATACATACACTATGCTCATTTTGCATGCCAGGTAAAATTAATGGCAACATCACAGGCATTAGCAGCAAACAAGGCTGTGCCAATTCTTCCTTGTAGAGTTCAAACTTTCACGCAGCAAGGTTTGATGTAATATGAAGATCATTCAGGTTTGGTCTTAAATTACAGCATACGTACTGCATTTAAGCAGCAGCATCTTAAAAGCATAGGTATCTGGGCATGAGTTGTGTAGCAATTTGTGCTTTAGTTTGCTTTGTGGCCCACAAATTAACGGTCAGTACAGACATACTGAGTGAATCTGTGGAATTGAATGGAGCACTTTTGTTAACTGAGCCTGTCCTTGACTATGAGGAAAAGTTTATGCCAATAATAGCCAGTCTGGCTCATATCCTGCCTTTCCTGTGAAACTTGGAATGTGTGTACATCTTCAGAGATCCATGACGATCTGGTCCATTAGGTATGTGATTTGAACTTTTAGTAATGACTTTCTGAGAGGTGGACAGCAAGAAATCCCGTCTTTTACCACTTCCAGTTATATTTACTGCTTTTGAAAAGTTGAGGCTCAGACTTCCTTCCTGCTTCCAGGATGAGAAAATTAAGAACACACTGATTATTCTGTAGCACTAGCTAGTGTACATTTCAGTTAAATTTTGGCTAGGTCAACTAATTTGCTTCAGGCAATGTTCTGTCAAAGGAAACTCCTCTCTGCTTGTTACAAAAGCCTTACTTGGCTTTGAAAAGAAAAAAAATTATCAGGGAGGAAAAAAAGATACAAGGTGTAAGAAGAAAAGAAAGCTAATTAAGAAAGCTTGTTCTTTAGTTGAATCAGAATTTTAGGAAAAAATGGCTGCAGTGCTGCTCTAGATTATATCTGTAAATACCTGAAAAGTGGCTTTAGTTGACAAGTAATTTGAAGTTCTTTTGGCAGCTTTGTTTGTCTTAGGCATTTATAATGTAAGGGAAAGTAGGAGAACCAAAGAAACCAAAGGATGACATGGACAGTTAAAAATGAATTGATGGAGAAATATTGGTGGCAGTCTTGGTATTTGATACAAAATATTCATACAGAATATAGGGTAATAAAAATGCTGTTGGCTAACACTAGGACCTACTGCATATTTCTAGTGACCATTTTTTTTTCACGAAGAGTCATGAGTACACTGCATTCCTGATAATGAGTTATTGTATTTAGTGACCCAGAACTGGCTTGAGCACCTCTTCTGTGTTGCTTGAATTTGAGCATGCTGGCCTAAAAATTGTTGAATTTATGTTTTCATTAAAACAGAATAAAATGCTTAGTAGCAGTTACTATCTACTATTCAATACAAACATAATGCTCATTTTCACAGTCCTTCCACTTTGGTTTTAATATTGACTAAAATATGGATTTGAAACAAAAATGAGCAGTGCCATCTCAAGAAATGTGTAATTTCTTGTAATGGCTGTGAAAATGGTTCTTTCAACTATTATGAGCTGCCTGGTGCTATTTCCTCAGCCTGTAAGGATTTATATGAACCTCTGAGCAAAATTGATCTTCAGTTTAACTGTGGTGACATCAGTCAGAGATGAATTTGGCCAGTGACTAAAGAAAAAGGGAGTGAAATAGTAAAACATGAGTTAGAGGGTCTTATATGTGTTTGCAAGCTTTTTGTTTTTGTGTGCAAATATTATGCAACAGTAGAGATTGCTATAGAGATTTTATGTAATGGGGTCATATCTGGTTTATTGGGTGAAGCATAGTTCTGCATAAAATACAGAGGAAATATCTTGGTAAGGATAGCTCTGTGTGGAACCCTTAAATGAGTCAAGAATCCCGTATTACAATCTCACAGAGCATACCTTATGCCTTACAGACATAATGAGACATGATTCTTAACTACCAAGAACACACATGAAGCCAGGTCAACTGTTGGAATAATGTATTAGGTCCTGTATAGGCAGTAGGTCCATACAAATGAATATAATAAGAATACAGTAATTCTTCATTAGCACACTTTCCCAGATTCTTGTATAATTTGATGCTTAGTAATCTTTAGTGATTTCTGTAATTCTAAATCTGGAAGCATGCTGACATCTACAAGATGTCATGTAGCAGAGTTCTATAGTTGAACCACATGTTGGTTGAGAAACCACCTCCTTTTATTTTAATACTACTCTGTTTGATTATTCCATAGCCCTTGAACTGTCTCAGATGTTAAGAATTGCTCACTTTTCTCCCTTTTCATGCTCTTCTGGATTTTATAAGTGATCTGATATGTGAGGATTGACTATATGGTGGAGTTTCTGTCTGTCTGAAAATTGTCTTTAGTACAATAGGTTGTAAATTTATCTGTATTAGCCAACCTATCCCACCTTCCAGTCTGGATATTCCCTTAATTTTAGCAGGACTTAGAATGCCTGGTGTCAGATATTTTTTTGTTTTCTTTAAAAGGGAAGTGAATTGCCTGTGGTGACTTTCCGCTGTCACTGTGCACAAGAAGAACTACAGTATGGCACGCTAATTTTCTTGAAGGACAAGATGCAGACTGCCGCTGTGACAGACAACTCACTGGAAACCCTTATTCCACAAGTTACAGGTCCCTGAATTCTGATCCATTGTTACTACTGAATGAAAGCTGATGAATCCTAAAAAAAAAAAAAAAGGTTTTCCAGTTATTCCTTTTCCTGTGACCGGACTCTGGACGGACAATATTTTTTGTTGCCAAAATACAAGTGAATTTTCAACATGAAAAGCTCCACATCAAACTTTTCATTTCCAAACAGCTGTGCGGTATGATTTTAGAAAGATTTAAGATTTCTTTGATCAATAATGTACAGTTATGAAAGATTATACAAATCAAGCCCCAGTGAACTTAGGCTGAAGTCAGGAGTGAGGCTTTCAACCTAAAGAAGGACAGTTCACTAGCTTTTTTGGAGGAAGAAGAATTTATCTCCTACTGAAATATTTGGGGCTTCTGGCAGCTAAAACCAAAGATCTAGATCTGCCAGAACCAGTGGCTTAATCCAGGATGCATACTTCCAGCCGTCAGATTGGCTTCAGTACTTGAAGCTGCCTGGCTAAATGCCATGTTTGGGGGTATCAATTCTCCTGTGTCATCTGGCTTTCCTGTGTCTGCATTGTGTGGCTTTTCTGCCATTGCAAAGCAACAGAACAGAATTACATTTTTAGCAACTGGTGATATAGCAGAAAAAAAAAAATCCTCAGCTCACTAAGTGCAGGTGGCATGCTTGTCTGAAGGAAATCTTTACTTGCAATGGTGGGGGCACTGGAGAAACGTCCTGTTTGCCATTATTATGGAATGTCTCTTACAGTGAAAGGCGGCTGTGTGCTGTTTTGCTTTCAGAAGTTGGAAATAGTTGATAATTACTTTGTAATGCCTGTTAGAAAACAGCAAGTAAATCATCATTTGTTTCCAATAAAGCAGCTTCAGTTTTAACTACTTTTTTAGCAAGTGTACATTGATGTTTCTAGATTTTAATTGGTAAAATATTTAAGCCATTTTTCATCGCTGTATCTACAATATTGCAGTATTGCAAAAGTAACACAGTGTTGTTACCACTTTGAAAGAGTGAATGACATTGATCACTGTGAAGGGAGAAATGAAACAACACTAAGGTGACTTCATTGTCAAAGAGTCCCATGCAGCATCCCCGTAATTCTGGTTTCAGGATGTACATCTTGCTATATCCACCCCACACTTGGGTTGCACTGCAAGGTGAAAATTTTCAATAGAACAGGCCAACAGCAAGGTCAACCTTGGACCCCAAGTCCCTGATGAAATTTATTTTTCACCTTGGTGTAATCTCAGTGCAAAGGAGAAGTACAGCTGAGGAGGGAACCCTCCTGCTGCTCCAGCAGAGTTCTTGTTTATTTTCTGGTTCCTTGCAAGATTTTTTTTCCTGTGTCATTTTCTGCCAGCTCTCCATGCAGGCTTTGATCTGCCTGGGCTTCCTTGAATGTTTTTTTTAAATGATCCACTTCTGATGAATTTCTCACACTGAAGAAGCGTGACATGTTGTGGCACTGTGTAAAAGGTCGATTCCTGTCCTTATGGACACTGCTAACATACATTAACATCAGCTTGTCCCCAAGAAACTTTATTCTTAAAAGTGATATGTATATTTTTCTTTTATTTCTCTCCTGTACTAACCTATGACCCTTTCCATAAACAGTAATCCTCCCTGATGAATCCCCTCATAATCTACCAGAAACAAAGAACAAATAGTTGTCTTACAGGCTGTTAAGTAAAGCTGAACATCTGAGATAACAGCACAGCATTTCTGCTATACACGTGTACTTTTTTTATGCAGATAATATCAGTTATTTTGTGATTGCTGTGAAATCTCATCCAGATAGCTTTAAGAAATTAACTTTTTCTTAAATTGTTGTGTATTCCTCTTGGTGGCTTTTTACAGATTTTCAGTGGACAGCTATATTCCAGTTCATTCAAATACTGTAAGTTTAATCTTGTTATGTTACTGACACTCATTACGGTCATTCAGGTCAGGTGTAGGCTGTGTTGGTGAGTTGCTCCTGCCTCTTGCCAAATTTTCAGTAAAACTATCTTGCTCTGAAAGTAATGCCTTCTAGTTATTTCCATCAAAGCAACAGAAGATACTAAGAGCACAGTTAACACTATTTGGTAGAAAAAAATCTCAGCTACAAAACACTGTTTCTTAACACTGTCACTGGTATCAGCTATGCATTTTTGCCAGAAGTGAACAAGACCCTGCATCATGTACTCGTAAAACAAAACAAAAAACACACCAAAAAAACCCCAAAAAAGCTGCACTAGTAGAAGTGACCCACTGTTTCACAGCTGCTACGAAAGCATCATCACTGAAAGATAACACTCACTGTCTCACTGTGCTCACACCCACTCTTTGGTCTCTACAAACATTCAGCAAATGTCATTAAATGCCAATGGGTGCTGTTTTTTCTCATGGAGGAATTCAATTCCGGCCCTCTTTTCATTTGCAGTTCTATGTCGGATGCTGTTTTATCGGATTGCCTCTCTGCTGCCATCTGTCTCGTGGTGATAAAACATAATGGTAAGTTGGTGGGTAGGTTCAACCTCTGCTGCTTTATCACCATCATCTGCATTTGACATTGTGCATCAATATCATGAAATAGGAGGTATTATTTTTGGATCAGCCCTCATTGAAGGCAGTAATAATTCTGATATCTTTTTTTTCTTCCTATGTATGTGCTGCCTGTTTTGTATTTCTTGATCAGAAGCTCCTGTTGGTCTTTGCTGTATCTGTACAATATCTCCCAGAACGAGAGCTGTCCTTTATTAGATGTGGAAATTGCCAGAATATAAATAGCAGTGTGAAGCTTTTCACAGGAAAGAGAAGCTCACATTAGGAGAAAGGCAATCAGATTGTATAGCTGATAAAACACTGGAAGTCAGATGCAGTAGGCATCTAGTAGCACACTTCATAGCAAGACTACGTAAAATTACAGTTCCTCCATATGATGAACAGATGTCCTTACATGCACACCCACCCAGGCTGCACTGAGTCAGGCAGAGTTGGAGAGCAGCTGTTACAGACAAAGTGTCCTGGTTTCCTGTTCCCTTTCAGAATCTGAGCTGAAGGCCTGGATAATAATGTAGCCCATTCTGTTTCTAGTTCTTATTGGTTGCGTTCAGCTTGTCAGCATGAAAGTTTCTGTCCTCCAAACTTTGCAGTCTTACTGTGTGATGATTGGGCTTGGACAAAGGCAGTGCTGGCTGAAGGAATGGAGCAAAGAATAGATCCTCAGGCTCCTGCATGCCATCCCACTGTTCTGTTCACTGCACCAAACTCTTGGTTAGTAGATGCAGGATGTCACAGAAAAATAGTTGGTGTATCAGAAGTGCCCAAATGGGGGACAATTTTAGTCTTTATTTAGCAACATAGGATGAACTAGATACCTCTGTGCAATGAATGGGAGAGGTGAATTGACCTTTTTTGTTACTGCTGCAAGCTGCCTTTGGTATTTGGCTTCTTCATCCTTGTTCAGCAGCTGGCAAAATGGACTGGCTGACTTCTGGTCTGACCTACTAAGCTTTATGTTTTATGGATGACCTGTGTTTTTCATGACTTCAGAATTCTATGTTCATTTTAATTAGTTGAACTTGACTTCACAAACCCAGACTTTTAAAATCATTTGGCAAGCTGTGTGGAAGTGTCACAGCAAAAGCCTGTGAAGTGCACAATGTAATTCATGTTGAAAACACAAGTGGGTCTTATTGAAACCTGTTTTAGTTTTGAATAGTGAGGGAAAAATATGTGAGAAAAATATGCCTACTTCTCTGCCGTATTTTCCCAAACAAACTCAGCATAAGCTTTCTCAGATACTGAACTTAGTCCTAATGCAGCTCCCATTGAGCTGTTGTTGAGTTACATCAGAATGGAAGTAGTCTGGTATCAAAAATCTCTTCCTGACTGGTAAGCTTCTTGGTGACTTGTCCAAAATGTACACAGCAATCTCTGTTATTATCCCTATTTGTTCCAGTGAGGTCGATGTGCTACACAGTGTGCGGACAATCAAAAGGAATGAGCTCCCATGGCACAACAAACTGCTATCTCCCAGTGGCTGTGTACAGGAATATGCTCAGTAAAGGTCACGTGCTCATCACCTGTGTGCTTTTAGTTATCTCAGTCACAAGTGTGGTTTAAATAAATCCATGCAGTTGCATAATGGGAGGAGGCTAATGATGAGCAGTCAGTTATGTATTGAGACGAATGGATGATAACATGTAGTAACTTGTTGCTTTTGAATCATTTGCTATATCCTCATTTACATCCTTAATGAGTATTGTGTAATGGTAGAGTCATGTTTGGTCTGGCGTCGCTGGGGCTCTATGTTCCTGTACTTGTTTGCCTTCATAACCAGAGCACAGTGCCAACATATGTACACTGTGTTCAGGTGGCAACTGGTGCCCCAAGGTCTATCAGACATTGCGTTGTATTTTTAATTGCCTGTAGGATGTTTTTCAATCCATTCACTTTCAGTGTTAGTTTACAAACAAGTAATAGCTATTAAGAAAAAGCATCATCTGTGAGCCTTGTGGATTTTGCCTCTGCTATCGCTGCTCTAATTCAGCTCTGTAGTAACTGAGCACTGAAAGCGTGCATGCAAAGTTCTTGAGGCTTTACAGAAGCATCTGAAAGAACAAAAGGACATCATCTAGAGGCCAGAATAATTACTGTCACGTAGATTTTATAATATTTATTGAAGTGGTTTTGTTTAACAGGAATTGTTCCAAGACTGGAATCTGAATTTCAGGTCAGGATGTCACTCCAGACTATTAATTTGAGTTCTGGATAAGTTCATCTGTTTACTCTCTGGTGATTGTAACACCTCCCATGCTTTTGCTAACCTGTAAACTACTTGGTTTTGTTTGCTCAAGTCAGTTGCCAACTTGTTCGTATCTTAATGATGCAAAATAGTCATAGTGAAATGCAGTGGCTGACTGCCTACTGAGTTCCCAGCAGTCAGAATGTGCCACACAAGGAGAAGTCCCCAGCTGAGGCAAATGCTCTCCTAGCTTTGTGAGAAGGCTGTGGCTGTACAGCTAACTACACAGGGAGCCCGCAGCCACCCAGAAGGGGCACAGTGAGTAGATGGGGCAGCTTATGGGACACGGGCAGAAGGTGCAGAAAATGTTGGTAGCACAGCCAGTCGTCACAGCTGAAATTTTCACCCACGTTTCTACTCTGTGCAAAGCCATCTTGTTTTTCCAATATCCTTTGCAGTCTGTGTGGATGGGAATGAGTCTAAATACAGATGCAGCATTCTTTCCACCTTCTGTGACCTAAATATCAACAAATTCTTTAGTGTTTTGTGCATGCACTATCTTCCCATAGGTACCCACGATGTTTTCTCATGATGATTTATATCAGGCATCATTTCTGCATGTTTATCTAATCTACTGCATATAACACAAGAGTTTTAAAATTACTCTTACCTGAAGATCTTTGTGCTGAAGATTGCCTGTGTTATTGTATAAGCTAAAATTTTTTAAAGCAAACTGGGGCTGGAAGTGCAGCAGGCAGTTTAATTCTACTTAATGACTGTGTGAGCAAATACTGCTGATTACTACTGAAGATGCAATAAATAGAGAGGATATTTTTAATTATAATTATTATGCTTGATTTTATGCAACAGACGTTGGTAATTACTTGAAGAGTCTTGGAACCTCTGGGTCAAATTGTATGTTGTCTTATTTTGGTTGGCAGTTTTTGAAGAGAGTGAGTTCACACAAGGAACCAACTAGAAAGGACTATGAACTGTTGGATCTTGCACTGTCATGATCTTTCTTGCTAAGAGATGTTCTGAGGGAATCTGATTTCCCCACTACTCTTCTTTGTAAATATTTCTGTGGTAGCATATGTCAGTCTTCTGAAAATGGAGTAAATGACAGTCTGGAATCAATTATGATTTAAA